ATTTAATTATGGCAGCCTTCGTGGAGAACTTTCTAAGGGAAACTGGCTCGTATACACGTTACACATGGGGAAAACCACGAAAACGCCAATGCAGCCAGCCCGTTCGCGGATTCGAACCTCGGACCGAACTACCAGTGTTCAGCGTCTTTACCGCTCGGCAGTTGGTCGGCGGGGGTGCAACGGGAAAAATATTTAAAAACACTGCTACATAGAAAGATAAGAGAAGTAACGCTTTCGGTTCAAAAATTCTATACTGAGTGTTCAGTAAACACGCTCGAATGAGAGTTCCCACAACATATTTTGAATATTTTATAGTGATATCTGCCTGTGTATGTGCCGATGTTTTCGCAAACGATAACTTTTACATGAAAAAGTTTCAATTTTTCGTATTTAAGCTTTCATACAAAGAGCAGATTAGATTTTGGATAAAATTGGGCAACCGGAAGTGGTATTTTACTTGAAACCCGTAACACTTTTTAATAGACAACCGGAAGCAGCATTTTACTAGAAATTCGTAACAGTTTTTAGTAAAAAACTTCATTAAAACAAAATCCAAAACTTTAGGCATTTAAGTCTTTTATATCAGTGGAAGCAATATATATTTGATTTGGGCTAAAATTAATAAACCGGAAATGATATTTTACTTGAAGCTCTGAACAGATTTGTGTGAAAAACTATATTATGATGTGATCTCAAACTCTTCAGATTTGGTATATAAAACTCGTATATGCAGACACGATGCATATGCAAACGCAGTTCCTGACAGAGTAGTATGATTTTTATAACAATCGTTTCATTTGAAGAATCTCAAAATTCTTGTAATGCGAGCATGTTATAATACAAAATCTGATGTGTACACCACATGACTTCCTTGTACGGAACATTAAATTATACGAATTTTTTCTTGCATTTCATTTAAACGTATTGTATTGAATAAAATCTACTTCGCCGACAGCGCATAAACCACAATAGAATGAATGCATTCTTTAAAATTCACCCTATTTGTTTACCATAGCGACATTCTGGCGCTAGGTTCACTTAACAGTATTATATTTCGTTCATATCATAACTCAGAATGCACAAAATTTATATCACTTAAAAAATTATCTAATCGTTGCCACATATTCTATTCAAATACTATAATAAAGCTAAAACGATGTATAAAAGAAATTAAGCAAACAAAACAAAAAAGAAACAGTTTTTCACAGACGATTGAGTATTTCTCATTCAATTAATTCAGTTCTGACTTCGCGACAAAGCAAAAATACATAAAAACTCAAAATATCTAGCGTATTAAAAATTAACGAAGTAAATCTTAAACACTTATTTCCTCGAAAAAATTCCAGAAAGGATTAAGCATGATTATAATTCGCAATAACAAATGAAGGCGTTATATTTGTTCTTGCGAAGCTTAAGATTCTCTAGATTGGCAACAAATTCCACTATTCTGCAGTTTCAAATGTAAACAAGAGCAACGGCCGCCATCAGTAATCACAAATTATTAGGCTTAGCGGCACTTAAGCAACTTTTAAATTGATGATAATTCCTACAAATATTGCATACATATTTACTAAAGGCATAAAAACCTTAACCGGAAGATAAGAACAACATAATTCAATCATTTTTAAAGCAAAAGACGTACAATTTACAAACATATAAGAGTAAAGAAACTGAGATCACTGAGCCGGGTAGCAGAGTGGATATATATATATATATTTATATACGTTTGGTGCGACCGATCGCGACCAAAGTACGAGGTGCACATCTATTTGTTATAGTAGTCCTATATACAAAATTTCAACTTTCTGAGGGTACTCGTTTTTGAGTTATGCGAGATACGTTCGTACAGAGGCCACGAAAAATTCTCTTCAGAATTCATTTTAAAGCAGTTTTATAATTTTTGAAGGAAAAGAGTCTTTTATTCTGTCCTTACCTACAGATATCACGCAAAAACATCGTTAAATTGCATTTGATAGCGGTCAAAATGGATATTTTCGTTGAAATATGCAGCCTGAAACTTTTCGCGATTACAATACTTCTATTTTACTTCGTACAAGGAAATAAAAACGAGAGGTAAACATGTTGATGCGAATTTAGAAATAAGAATTTTTACTTAAGTTCAGTTATAACCTAATTAATTATGATACAAAATTTTGTATTCAGAACATTTTATTTATTGAAGCACCAAATCAGATTGTTTCCAATTGGTTCCATTGATCTGTCGGAAAAGCGATAGTTGATTTAACACATGGAACTGGTGGGAGCTAACGTACAGTGTTTAATGTATGTTTATATTTACTGCAATAAATTCGTATGCAGTTTTATAAATATCCTAATAATTTAATGCAGACATCGGAATTTCTATATCGACCCACACATTTTCCTGAAATCTTTTGCTAAGGAGAGAAAATGAGCTTGCTGGAAATTCATGAATTTAATATAAAAAAAATATTGAAACTAAAGCACTTGAGGTGCAACTAAATATTTTTTTTAAATTACTAATGGATAATTTAAGACCTAAGTAACACGTTATCGTAATATACTTTTTATAAACTCGGCTTCACTATAAAATAATATAGTTTCCAGAAGGGTATTTTAAAGAGAATCACTTAATATACTTAATATACTCACTTAAAGGAGAAACACGTAGCAAAGTAAATCACTTAATATAGATTTGTAAACCAATCCTTTACCATAAACTGTTGGACTAACTGTGACAACAAGGCTGCCCTCTGGTGAGTAGCCAGAGAAGTACTTCAGTGAAAGCCAAGTGTCCCACTTGATAGGTTGTACCAGATTCTTGCTCTGTAATTTTCTTAAAGTTAAATGTAATGTCCGTGTGTAGCTTAAAACATATCAATAAATACTTGTTACACTATACAGGACTCTTCTATGACCCTATCTAAAACGACCCACTCACAGATTTACTTTGCTATTCTACTTCACAGAAACTATCTGAAACGACCCCCTCACAGATTTACTTTGCTATTCTACTGCACGCTTGCCCCTCACAGATTTACTTTGCTATTCTCCATACGCTGGGTGAATAAAAAAAAAAACAGTTTAAATACTCTCAATTCGATTTAAGTTTGAATTCCAGCGAAGAGGCGTGTCTTCTTTTGAACGCATGCCTTCGTTGTGCTGGAATCACGTCCACATAACGAGTTTCGCTTGAATCAGTTTCCCATAGAAAACTCTTTACGAAGACATCTGCTCCAAGCCTAAGGGGAGGGATGCCTTCGTGAAGGACTTTCTAAGGTCGACTGGCTCGTATACACGTTACACAAGGGAAAAAACACGAAAACGCCCATGCAGCCAGCTCGTTCGCGGGATTCGAACCTCGGACCGAACTACCAGTGTTCAGCGACTTTACCGCTCGACCGCTGGTGGGCGCTAAACTATGAAAAAAAATTATTCATTTAAATTTGACAACAGCCCTTTTTATTCACCATTTTAGTTTGGCTGTCTTCGCTTTCTTTTCTAAAAGTAGAAATTGCTTTAAATAACTTCCTGGACTGCTTCTTTCCAAATGCATTCATGTTCTGTTTTCTTATGTAATCATGCTGCATTTCTGACGGCTCTCATTCAATCAAATTAAAGAAGCTTTTTTACTATAATAATATATATATATATATCTCGCGCTTTGCTGATAGGGACCCCTACTACAAGGAAGCGCCCCTGTAAAACGTGCATCGCTGCTGGCTTCTGTATATCGTGCACTGTCTTAATATGAGCTAAGCTTTCAAAAATCGTATTCATCCATAATAATAATGAGTGAATCAGTATTACGTCTCTGAGAAGTGCTTTATCCAACAACAAAATTATGTTGAATCAACAGCCACGTCTGTCTGTGAATGTTATTCTTGTATCTATCTACATTAGACCCAGATATTATTATGAAAAAGTAAAGAACCTTATCTTTTACAAGTACCTATTTCAATCATCCCGTTGCAATGATATATAAATGTGAATCAGCATACCGAGATTAGACAGCTGTTTTATAAATTTATTCATTTTTATGTTTTAAATACTTAACTTTTTCAAATGTGCTTTAGTAAATTTTTGGAAGCGTTACACTACAATCTAAAATTTCCTGATCACAATTTAATTTTCCTTCTTCCTGGAATCTTCTAGCAATCGATTCAAATTGTTATTAATTTATGTATCGATTATTTTTAAATCTAAAATGACAGCTGCTTCTTCAGAGCTCTGGTCTCTAAAGTAATTTAAAACTTATAAGAGAAATTCAGATTCCTGAGGTAGAGTTTGCATTCCTCCTTTTCTTTAGTTCTTCTAATTAGATATGTTTTTTGACGTTAATAATTGTTCAGTAGTTTCTCAATGCCGTATTGGAATTTTGACTTGGTTACAAACTTCGATACCTTTCTCGGAACAAAAAAGAGAAAAGATAATGTAAATCTCTTTTTTAATTTTTTAATGATAAAAATGTGTAAATCTGAAATTTTAAAATATTGTGTATTGTAAAAAATTTTTGTTTATAAAATTTTAATGTTTATAAAATTTTGTAAAAAATTTTTGTTTATAAAAATTTTTAAAAAATGAGGAAATTTCATATTTTGTCCTGTTTTAGATTAGATAAAAGCTCTTCTTATTATTCTTATTTTAAGAATTCGCAATATTCGAGAGAATTTTAGAATTCGGATTCCAGAAAATTTAGGATTCATACCTTTTCTTCTAAAGCTATTCATTAAATTATGTTATTTTATAAAGTAACTATTATTATTTATTAAATTGATTAGATTAAAAAAACTAATATTTTTAAAAGGTCTAAATTTTGACATCTTATGTAAACATACTCAAAATATTACTATACATCCTAGTTGCAATACATCCTAATTGATCAACTTAGGCTCGTTTTTGGCGAAGTTGGCGACGGAGATCGTGGACGGGAATTTGGCGAATAATTTTCTTCCAACAACCTGCGCTCATCTCGATCCGCGGCAACTTTCGCATTCGAGTTTGACAGTGTTTGCCGAGTGGTCGCCAGAAGAAAAATGCGAAACGTTGTTATTAATTTCTTGCATAATTGCAGAGTTAAGGAAGCAGAATTTTCCAGTTGAAATTATATGATAATGATAATAAGTGATAATGATATAAAGTGTACCACAGTGTATTTGCATCACATTGTTCCAATATATTTCAGAGAGGCAATTTTTAGTTTTGAATATCCAAAGGCAGGCACATGTTAGACAAATACTAAAAATTTATTGTATTCGCACATAATCTATCACAAATACATAAGACTGTGGACATATAACAATGAAAAAGAGCGTTATTCTGCGAAGAAGATTTAAAATATTCAATTTACGTGAATCAAAGGACGAATGCTCCTCGGTGTAACGTAACGGTCTCCAGATGTGCTTTTTATGATAATTTCAAAACAACAGAACCGCGAGTGATACCTTATCGGTATGACTTGAGAACTTAACCTATTTCATCCATCTTAGAATTGACCATTCATCGTGCTTTATGCATAGTGAGCAAAAAAGCTTGGTTTTGCACCATTGGCACGTGATGACAGGAAAAAGAATGCGCACATGCTCATCATCATGAAATTTGTCTGTTACATGGTCATCATTCTGACCCTGACCTCCGTTACCGTTGTCGCAAGACCTCCACTGGATAACTGCGATTGGTCTGGAAGGTAAGTCAATAATTTGAAAACTTAAAATGTTTTAAAAAGTTAGAAAGGCTTTTTTTCCACCCAAATTTGTTGTTCTTCATAATAATGTAATTCGTGAATGCAGGTTTCAGACCTTAGGAGTTTTTTACTTCAGTTGGTGGCGTTTAATTCGATCTCGGCCAGTGTTGTTATCATTCGGATATTGTTAGCAAATTATACGGAAATCCCGCCTATTTCTATGCTTAAACGTGGAAAATACATCACTTATTCCGATCAACAAGTCGATCAAAATATTATTATAATGATTTTTTTGTAGCTGAATGTAGTTATCGATTAAAAGATAAAGAAGCTTTAATGTAGAATTGGGTGCCCCTTCGATTAGCGACAATTATTTTTTTTTTAAATTTTGGCGATAAAACCTCACTTCTAGTTACCATGATAGTTTTTAATTTGTTTTACCTTCCTGATTTCATTTAAATGAAATTAGATTGATGTGTACATGGACAAATTTAAGGCAGTGCGCAATGCCTAGTTTGTGCAATTCTAGGATGAAAAAGAATCGCCAAAAAACAAGATGTACCCAATTGTAAACTTTTACCTATAAAGAAAATAAATAAGGTCAAAATTGGTAAATGGCACCGTACAAAAATTGGTAAATGTCTCAGAAAAACTGCCATGTAAGGCACTAAGAGGCTAAATAGTTTGATTTAAGTTAACCATGTACAAAGAAAATGCTTTTCAAAATTTTACACCAGTGCTATAATTCAATGTGCGCTGGTATAATACAACCACGGGATCAGAGAATTTTTATAGTGATGAAATTGTATTATTACCCTGAGATGAGTCTTAAGTCCTTTAAAATGTGGATGTAAGTAAAAATGAATTATCGTGGAAGAGCAATCTTCTTAATGCGTTGTATTTGCTCAAAATGTCTTGGAGCTCCGTCTCAGAAAAGTGTTAAACATTTCAACTTATAAGATAATCTCTCCCTCCTTTCTGCATGCCTTCGTGGTGCAGTGGTTAGCACACTCGGCGCGTAGTCGAGAGGTTACGCGCCGAAGTTAGAGTGCTGTGACGGCATTGCTTACTTTTCACTTCTGTCGTATCAAAAATACCTAATGTCTTTAAAACCTTTTAATAAAAGATGAAATACTAGAAGTTAAAGAAACCAACGTCCTCGACAATATGAATTATGAGAAACTAAAACTTCGTGTATATATTGCTGAAAAAATTCAATTTGCAGTATTGCTGAGCATATAGGTTTGGTTTGGTTTATTTAATTACTGCAAAGCACACTTGGACTATCTGCCTAAGGGGAGGGATGCCTTCGTGGAGGACTTTCGGTTGTAGTGCCCCTTCGATTAGTGACAATTTTTTTTTTTTTAAATTTTGGCGATGAAACCTCAGTTCTGGTTACCATGATAGTTTTAACTTTGTTTTAGCTTCCTGATTTTATTTAAATGAAAATAGATTGATGTATGCATGGACAAATTTTTAAGGCAGTGCGCAATGCCTAGTTTGTGCAATTCTAGGATTTTTTTTTTTTTTTTTTTTTTTTTTTTTTTTTTTTTTTTTTTTTTAGGTGAAAACAGATCGATGTGTACATGGACACAGAGTTTGTGCAATTCTTTGACTTCTTAATTTGGTTTTGTTTAGCGGCCATCTTGAAATTGCGCCGATCTTGGCGTCAAAAAAGAATCGCCAAGAAATAAGGGGCACCCAATTGTAAACTTGTACCGGAATTTCTAAGGGAAACTGGCTCGTATACACGTTACACATGGGGGAAACCACGTAAACGCCCATGCAGCCAGCCCGTTCGCCGGATTGGAAACTTGCACCGAACTACCAGTGTGCAGCGACTTTACCGCTCGGCCGCTGGTGGGCTACTGAGCATATAATAAACTTTTCTGAAGAGGAATGAAACCGGTGACTTCCTACAATTAAGTATTAGAAAGGCCAATCAGTGGCCGAGCGATAAGAACGCTGAATATTGTTAGTGCGATCCGGTGGCTCCGTGCGAGTTTTCCCCATGCGTAATGTGGTATGAGCCAGTTTACCTTTAAAAGCGATCCACGAAAGCATCCCTTCCCATAGGCAGATAACCCTCGAGTTGCTTTGCTGTAATCAATTAATTCAGTCTAACCAGACTATTAAGGTATAGTATCCGGGAACGTTATAAACATGAAAATTCATAAACGGATTTTTCTGTAACAACTGTAAAATATCCATTATTAATTATTTTTTTTAACTCAAGTTCTGTGAAAGTATAGCATTTTTATGTTTCTAGCACATTTATATTAATCTATTTGAATTCCATTGTTATTTTGAAGGATATTTTTCCCTCGAGGTTATCAAAATAGCGGTGGGAAATGTGATCACATTAAGCAGCGGCTAATGCGATTCCATTCCATCATTGCCAATTAGAAATTACATCATTGCCAATTAGTAATTCAGTTCCATCATTGCCAATTAGTAATTCAGTTCCATCATTGCCAATACGTAATTCAGTTCCATCATTGCCAATTAGTAATTCAATTCCTTCATTTGTTAAAAAGTATTTAAAGTTCTGTAAATGCATTAAAGCAAAGCGATTATTAGAGCAAAATTTATCTCAACGTTTAGTACTTGGAAGAGGAAGAGAAAATATTTAATTAAATCAAAATAATAAATTTTTTGAAGTGTTATAATTTCGCCGCGATACGGTGGTGAACTGTATAGCGCCCTAATACAGTAAAACACAAGTGAATATTCGGTACTAAAAAATTTTATGTACCGAGTACTGTATATGTACTTCTGAAAAGCATTTTACTTATTAAGAAACAATGATGAATTGTGTACTAAATCATTATTTGTATTATCCCCAGTATGACTTCATAAAAATTTAAACTTTCTTTCTACGTTTTAAAGGAGTGGTATTTAAAATAAATGCAAACATAAAAAAAAAAAAAAAAAAAAAAAAAAAAAAAAAAAAAAAAAGCCTTAATCAGAAAATAAAAAATACATAAATAAAATAATGCAATGCATAAAAATAATAAATTAATTTAATGCATAAAAATGCAAACGACCTCGATCAGTGTGTCAGCTCTTAGTTATATACCATCAATTCAGATTTTTTATAATTTTTTTTTAAATGGTGTAGCGACCCACAGTTTAAATATCGTTGTTTATTAGACAATTGCTGCCAGATTTTTTTAAAGGCATTTATCAGTTTCGTCATTTCGCAAATTATTGTCTAATAAGCTATTGCAAGCACGCTGTTTTTCTGTTATCTAGATCAAAAGCAATTTCCCAAGATCTGTTAAGTAATAGTTTTCATCCCCTTCTTAACGTTAACCAATTTAACAGCATATTTCTTTTTCGCAATCAAAAATACCATCGTCTCGGCATACGGTATGCAATAGCCGAGTCCCCAAGATAAACACTTCTGATCTTCATACTTTTCAACAAACTCGCTTTTTCACTTTCATGGTGATCCTAACCATATTCTGCGTTGACACTTTCATTAACTTCTTAAAACTCATTGTTAACGAATTTACAAACCATTTACGCTAAAAAAAAAAAAAAAAAAAAAAAAAATCTGAAATGTTTCAGATTTTAAATTACGTCCAAAGGGGCGTTTTTTAACATTTTGTGTGTTACCTTTCTTTATTAAATATCATGTTCCTCGCACTTAACCAAAAGATTCAGTGCAACAGCAATATCGCAAAATAGTTTTAAAAACGAGCCTATCTTTAGAATTTCCGATACAGAGACTCACGCGCTGGAGATAAAAATGTTTTTTCTGCACAACGTTGCCATTGCTCGCTTTGAAATCCTTGAGTTTGTTAATCAAAAATTCGTCAAAGTTTTTAAAAAATAGGAAATCGATGATCATAAAACAAATTTCAAATTTCAAATTTGGTCTTCCACATGCTCATATTCGTTGGAGGATTACGTTATTCAAAATTCGATGACTCTATTGTACCGTTGTTTTATCACAATACGAGAAATATACATACATTTATGCAGATTTTTCATTATTTAATTTCTTCAAATATAATGCAGGACTCTAACATTTTGTGGCAACAGTTTGAAAAGTGAACCGACATTTATGAGTCCGACGCAAAATGCCAAAACGAAACTAATAGTCCTTCGGGATTCAAATCCCTTTGGACTAAAAACACAATCACATCAAAATTCAGAGTTATAGTGCAAGTTGTTTTACTGAATGGTTTCGCGCTATGCACGGGGTGTTTACAAAATGATAAATTCTTTTTCGCGGCCAATATTCACCAGAAAAACAAAGTTGCAATGGAACCGCAAGTTAAATATACTACCCATGTTACTATAGGGATAGTCACGACCGAGACATATCGGAAGAGCAGATCTCTTGTCAGCCAGACTCTAGCATTATCTCGAAAGACCAAGAAAATATAATATTCTTGGTAATTAATTATTAATATTCTTGGTAATTAATTCTTGGTAAGAAAATATAATATTCTATAATATCCAAGAAATAATTCACGCATTCGAACAGAACATACCCCAAGCTAGGCTTATTCTAAAGCGGACATATACCTAGGTACACTGTATTTATATTATTACTTTTCTTAAGGGTATTCATACACCTTAAAACCCATAAGATCTTCGAATATGTGACTGTTGCAAGAATTGGGATAACTTATTTATTTTAAAGGCAATTACTTCCAACTTTTTACAGCTGCTTTCTGAAATTCTAATCAGAAAGTTTGTGTTGCCACAAATATTTTTATAATTTAATGCACTTTCTGACAAAATGTTTCGTCAAGTTTCCACCTTGCGGGCACAGTTTAAAGCATTCTGTTGCGTAATTTAATTCCGTATATAATATATAGCTTTTATAACATTTGGAAACTACTGTGAACCAAAAATTCTAAGAATTTCATGTTAAATTTTTATTTTATTGGGAGTTGAGTTTATAAAATGTATTTTATTAAGAAAATCTGTAATGTTTTCGTTCATAAAATTTTTTAATATCAAAATCTTGATCATATTTTTAGTTC